TAGTTCTTGATGCTGCGGGCAAAAATTTTTTTCTCTTTCCTTTTGTCCCCTTTTGTTATATCTTCAACAAGACCCAGGGGCTCGACCCAAATACAGTTGTCACTAAAGCAAACTTTGGTGCTTCCATCGTACAACAAGGACCCATCATTTGTTTTGAGCAAAAATTCCCCTGCCCACACTGTTTTTTTCCATTGTTTGTAGGCCCCAGATGTGGCTTCCCACATCTATTGTCACGTACTGTTCCAGTGTATCTGCAGTTATACTTATCTCTTATTAGTTTGACCAAAGGCATATTTGAAAAGAAATTGTCAGCATAGATTGTGATGTGTTTGTTTTGTTCATATTTGTGCAAGTACCGAACAATCTTTGTATTTTTGGAATTTAGATTTTTTCCGTGGCAGCTGTAGGGATGTGTTTCAAAATTTTGTGCCTTGATAATGAGATTCATTTATGGCCCATTTTGACTTGCACGACAAAAAAGTTTGAAACCCCCTTATCTGGTTTTGTTTTGATGTACTGCCTTAGGTTTTCCACAGTTTTCCCCTTTAAAACCAACCTGACTTACAATGATTGTTGGGTGTAGCGGGAATTTTCAAGAAAGATTGGGTTAGTTCAGTGAAAAAGGCCTTTATTTTTGTAGAATCTTCTTTTCCCTTTTTTGTGTTGTCAGAAATGAATATGACTTCTAAAGGGACCTAAAAACCCCTTAGACGCCCTGCTATTTTGCAACCTGTGGGCTCCTAAAAAGCTTTTAAAGTCTTGAGGGATGGTATGGGGCAATACCCCGAACAAAAAATCCTTGAAAACCTCAGATTCTTCAGAATCTGTTGAAAAAGTTTATTTTTCGTCTTGTTGCCTTGTATACAAATTTTTTTTTTATGCTATGTTATCTACATGGCTGGGAGTAAAGAACATACGAAAAAAATCATAGGAGACCTAATTGCAAGAGGCTTTTCATGTTCTTGCCCGGAAAAAGGGTCATTTTTAATGTCATTAGGTCCCCCGAGAGAAATTAAGGCAAAATTCTCTGGATTTTTCCCCATCCCGGGGATTCCTCAATCCTAAATTTTTTTTTTTTTTCATTATTTCTGCTTTTTGGTGGCCTTTGTTTCCCTTTTTCCTCCTCCTCATTTATCCTTGACATTCTGCTCCTGTGCATGCGGTGGGAAGTATTCACACCACTATCCGCAATTTTGGTTCGTCTACCTTTTTTCCGAGTCACTGTCTTTAGAAACGCAGAATACCTCGACCTGCTGGTCGCCCCGCTCCCCATAAAACGCCTTCTGGAACTGGAAGGACAATAGAAATCCTGTATAAATCCAGCCACTACAGGTTCATTATGCAATTTAAAATTTTTTATAAATATTTTTTTGATATAATTGGACATTTCCCCCCCAAAACCCCGGGGGAAAAACCGAAATAATTCGGGCTAAAATGCTTGCACTTTTTTTTAAATGCATGCCACACTCAATTATGCTTACAGGGCTTTTGGTATATATAAAATTGCCTAAAATATTCTGTAAGCACAAAACCCAAAAATCGTACTTACCCAATTGTAGAAAGTAAATCCAAGAGTAGATTAGTAATGGTGGAGGGAAAAAATGCGTGTGTGTTCGAAGCCAAGCCGCCAGTGTTTATATTTTGATCTCTCAACCAATGGGAAGGCGGCAGAAGCGAACTGTACTTAGCTGAGGAGACTCAGGGAAGGCTTGTGATTGGTTGGAACTAAAGAACGGGAAGCTGGCCGCGCGGGGCGCGAAGTATGACAAGCGCCAAAAACACGTAATCAATACCGAATTTTTTCGGCCAAACACGACAAAGGGTTAAACAACCATGGTGACATTACACATCCCTGTCTAAGACCTACTTTTACTGGGAAGTAGTCTTCCTCTCTTCTACACACCCTAACCTGAGCCTCACTATCCTCATAAAAACTCTTAACCGCATATAGTAACTTACTACCTATTCCATATACGTACAGTGGACCCCCGGTTAACGAACTTTTTTCATTCCAGTAGTATGTTCAGGTGCCAGTACTGACCGAATTTTTTCCCATAAGGAATATTGTGAAGTAGATTAGTCCATTTCAAACCCCCAAACATACATGTACAAAAGCACTTACATAAATACACTTACATAATTGGTCGCATTTGGAGGGGATCGTTAAGCGGGGGTCCACTGTACTTGCAACATCTGCCACATTGCTCCCCTATCCACTCTATCATATGCCTTTTTTAAATCCATAAATGCAATGAAAACTTCCCTCCTTGCTCATTCGCAATCCTACATATTGTCTTACCTCTAATTCTTTGAATAATAACCATACCATACACTTTTCCTGGTATACAGTGGACCCCCGCATAACGATGGCATCGCATAGCGATTTTTCCGCATAACGATTACTTTTATCGCAAAATTTTTGCCGCGCATACCGATTAAAAACCCGCATACCGATTTTCGTCCGAGACGCGTCCAATGTGCCCTCACATGTGCCGGCCGTCCCATTGTTTACCAGCCAGCCTCCGCGGTAACATCCAAGCATACACTCGGAATATTTCGTATTATTACAGTGTTTTCGGTGCTGTTTCTGGAAAATAAGTGACCATGGGCCCCAAGAAAGCTTCTAGTGCCAACCCTGTGGTAAAAAGGGTGAGAATTAGTATGGAAATTAAGAAAGATTTTGAAGGGTTTGGGGCTAACCCTGAGAAGCCTATGCCAGTTGTGGAATCCATTGTGCCTACTTCAAAGATTAAGGAAATGTGTGCACAGTGGGTTGAACTGCAAACCTTTATAGATGAAAATCACCCTGACACAGCTGTTGCAAGCCGTGCTGGTGACTATTTCAATGACAATGTTATGGCCCATTTTAGGAAAGTCTTGAAGGAACGGGAGGTACAGAGCTCTATGGACAGATTTGTTGTGCGACAGAGGTCCAGTGACTCTCAAGCTGGTCCTAGTGGCATTAAAAGAAGAAGGGATGTAACCCCAGAAAAGGACTTGCTACCTCAAGTCCTAATGGAAGGGGATTCCCCTTCTAAACAGTAAGAAGATAATGCTCTCCCCTCCTCCCATCCCATCAATCATCACCAGATCTTCAATAAAAGTAAGTGTCATGTAATTGTGCATGCCTTTTTCAGTTTGTGTGTATTAAAATTAACATTTCATGTGGTAAAAAAAAATTTTTTTCATACTTTTGGGCGTCTTGCACGGATTAATTTTATTTCCATTATTTCTTATGGGGAAAATTCATTCGCATAACGATTATTTCGCATAACGATGAGCCCTCTTGCACGGATTAAAATCGTTAACCGGGGGTCCACTGTACTCAGTAAACTTTCTTTCTTTCTTTCTTTCTTTCAACACACCAGCTGTATCCCACCGAGGCAGGGCGGCCCAAAAGGAAAAACGAAAGTTTCTCCTTTTACATTTAGTAATATATAGAGGAGAAGGGGTTACTAGCCCCTTGCTCCTGGCATTTTAGTCGCCTCTTACAACATGCATGGCTTATGGAGGAAGAACTCTGTTCCACTTCCCCATGGAGGTAAGAGGAAATAAACAAGAACTAAAAAGAAAATAGAAGAAAACCCAAAGGGGTATGTATATATATGCTTGTACATGTATGTGTAGTGTGACCTAAGTGTAAGTAGAAGTAGCAAGACGTACCTGAAATCTTGCATGTGTATGAGACAGAAAAAAAAAGACACCAGCAATCCTAACATTGTGTAAAACAATTACAGGCTTCAGTTTTACACTCACTTGGCAGGACGGTAGTACCTCCCTGGGCGGTTGCTGTCTACCAACCTACTACCTAGGACTCAGTAAACTTATTCCTCTATAATTTTCCCCCTGCTTTTAACATTTCTGTCATGATCCCCTCAGTTCCAGCTGCTTTATCTCCTTTCATTCTATGTAATGCCTCACGCACGTCCCCCACACTCACATCCTGCTCATCTTCACTCCTAAAAGATGGTATACCTCCTTGGCCAGTGCATGAAATTACCGCCTCGCTTTCTTCATGGACATTTTAAAGTTTTTTGGGGTCACACAGCACGGGATCTGAGGAAAGGCAGGGTAGCTCCACTCCCTTGGATCAAGAGCCCCTCGTTAGCCTCCAGGTACCTACTTAAAGGGAGATCCTTCACACCTACACTCTTTCTTTGTTTCATTCTTCTTCTGTTAGTGGTGTTTTTTCCTCTCATTTTCCCATTTCATCTAACATTTATACGTTCACTTTTGTTTCTCGATATACCTAAATCACATACCATCCAGCCATCTTTATTCTAATTCCTTCCAAAGCTTTTCCTACTTAAGCTTTTTTAACACACTGGCTGTATCCCACTGAGGCAGGGTGACCTAAAAAAAAAAAAAAAGTTTTTCTTCTTAAATTTAGTAATTTATACGGAATGGGTTACTAGCCCCTTGCTCCCTCCTACTTAAGTTATCTTTTATAAAAACTATTTCCAGTACTTTTTACTTTTTTTTGTCTATTATTACAACCACTGAGGTACAAAAACAAAATATTTTCCCTCACACAAACAGCAAAGTACTACTGTGCTGAATACAGAACTGTTTTTCAAGAACTGTTTATATACATACTCTGTGTAGTACCTGGCCCTAGTTGCTTTATAAAACACCATCAAATATCTCACCATTCATTCCTCCAAATTACAAATACTTCAGAATTTTTTTAAATGTCATTTTTCATTTTTTTACTTTCTGCCTATACTGCACAAGTCATTTCTTTATAATATTTTAGTAGTCACCACAAGATTTTTCTATTCATGTATTTGAACATTATCCTCTTACCTTTCTATAAAGTTTCTTTGCAGCAACTTACAGATTTAAAAAAAAAAAAAAACATTCACCATTCATTCAATAGCTATTTTGAATATGATAATTTCAAAACTTTAATTTTTTTCCATTAAATTGGAAGACATGACATTATAAATAAAATAAAATAATTATCAATGATCATGTAGAAAATACAAATGTAATAGGACCTTTGAGAACTGCGGACCAATGGTCGAATTCTTGTGGAGTCCATTTTGAGCCACTCATCAAAGCGATTAGACCAGCGTTCATAGTGAACCAGTATGTCCAGCTCACCCCAGTCCACCTCTACTATTTTGCATTGGTACCTGAAAATTTTGACAGCTTTAATTTATATACTAAATCAATAAAATTTTAATGTTCAAATATAAGGCCATTTAACCCCCTCTTCCCTCCAGAAGAATCTTCATCTAACATGTTTCACACATACATATATGCACACAAAACAGTGAAGGAGAATTGACGAAGGGCTGTCAGAGATGTCAGAGAGAAGGCAGTGCAATACATTCTGCAATGTGGTAAAAAAAACAAAAAAAAAAAAAACAAAGAGCCAGTTGATACTAATGGAGAGTTGAGAAAGCATTTAAATACCCAATACATTGCTGTGTTCATAATACTTGTAATAAAACAACAGGGTAGAAGTGGTATGGTGATACTGACAAGTTGTAGGACAAAGACATATATGCACTGATCAAGACAGTAAGGAAATGTTTTGCCACAAGTGGCTTCTTCAGTCTTAATACGTACAGATATAACTGAGAAACAAGTATATATAGTGACAGGAGTCAGATGGAGAGCTGTGAAAGGGTAGTAATAGTAGTACAGTTGAGGTGAGATGGGTTAGGCTTGAGAAAGACCTGTCTGCAGAGAAAAAACAGGTTAATGGTAACATTGGGTAAAAAGGTTGGACTAAGGTAAACATGACTTCCTAAGCATTCATGGTGAAGTGGTGCCATCTAAAGGCAATTTGTGCAGATGTAGGTGCCTAGAAGCAGCAATGATAACAATAACCAAAACCATGCTTCAAAAGTCAGGCAGCTATAGAATCCATTCTATAGCTGCCTGACTTTTGATGTATGGTTTTGGCTACTGTTATCACTGCTGCTTCTAGGCACCTATGTCTGCACAAATCGTTTTCAGGAATTATTAGTTTAGCTTCACTGTGCTGCATGATGTGTCCTGCTGCTCTATGTTGTATGCAGGTGTTCTGGTGTTACTGAAGTGTGAGTTCAGGCATTCTTGATGTTTCACCTAGGTACTTTTATTTTGTTACAACTTCCGCAGGCTACAATGTATACACCAGCCTTGTTGACGGTATTCTCTGTGGGCTTATTCTTATTTTTTACTAAATCTTTGATGGAAGCAGAAGTGTTGGTGGCTATTTTCATGTGTCTTTCTGACATTAGTAATGAAACACTGGAAGCCAGGTTACTTACCGATAAAACAATGTACGTACTTAGCTCGTGATCCTGTTGTGATTGTGTTGCTTCTGTTGAGGATGCTTGTGGCTCTCTTTCTGTAATCATTGATGTAATGTGGTGGGAAATACAACTAGGTAGGACTCTTTAAGGTATTCACATTCTTCTTCTATTTATTATAGGCAGAGATCCGAAAAGCTCTAAGAAAAAATCTTATCACAATACTTCTGTTAGTCCTCTTGTCAAGATGGGAATAAAAGTGTATTAATTTTAAGGCATTCTTTTATGTTGGTTTCCTGTAAACTTGGAAAAGGAGCCTCTCTCCTCCTGTGTTGGGTAATATGTACATCGAGAAATGGTAAGCAGTAGTCTCTCTTCTATTCTACCGCGAATTTGATGACTGGTTCCAGACTATCAATGGTGTTATGAATGTTTTGTATGTTGAGCCCCATCAGGACAATGACTAGGATATCTGTGTATCGCAACCATTTGACAGTTTTAGGAATGTTACCTTAAATATGTTACTCCTCACTGACAGGTCTCTCAAACTCAACCCACCTCACCAAAGTTATACATTGGTCCCTCGTTTATCGTCCTTAATCCATTCGTGGAAGTGGGACTATTATTGAAATAGACGATTTTCAAATCAATTTTCCCCATAAGAAATAATGTAAATACAATTAATCCGTTCCTGACACCCAGAAGTATTAAAACTAAAAATTTTTTTACATGAAATATAGATGTAGAACATAAACAATACAATGGGACATGATGAATGAAACATTAACAGCATAACACTTACTTTATTGGCGATTCTTCTCAGTGTATGGAAGACTGGAGGAGGAGAGAGATTGAATTACTGTTTGGAAGGGGAATCCCCTTCCATCAACACCTCAGGTACCAAGTGCTTTTCTGGGGTTACTTCTCTTCTCTGTTTCTTAATGCCACTAGGACCAGCTTGATTGTCACTGGAGTCCTGTCTCACAAAAAAACTGCCCAGAGAGCTCTGTTTCTGGCGTCTCTTTAAAGCTTCCCTAAAATGGGCCAAGACTCTGTCACTGTACAATTTGCCGATATGGCTTGCAACATCCTTCTCAGGGTGATGTTTCTCCATAAATCTTTCCATCCTACCCCACATTTCAAAAATCTCCTTAATTTCTGAAGAAGGCACCTTCTTCCATCTCTCTTCCTCCTCCTCTGCAGCAAGATTCTGAACTGCGATCTGTTGCTCTTCCTGCTGAAGCTCTTGCAGCTCCTCAGTGGTTAGCTCTTCGTTGTGGTCCTCCACCAACTCTTCCACATCCTCCAAACTCACATCCAACCCCATGGAACTCCCCAATGCCACAATAGAGTTCACAAAAGACATAGGCTCATCAGGGGCCACCTTAAATCCCTTCAAAATCCCTCTTGTGGACACAGTCTGGCCACAATTTTCTCCAAGCAGAGTTCAAAGTCCCGGTAGTCACTCTGAGGTCACATTAAAGCACCTTTGAAACATTGCTTTGGTGTAGAGTTTTTTAAAGTTTGAAATGACCTGCTGGTCCATGGGCTGGAGGAGAGGAGTGGTATTCGGGGGCAAGAACTTTACTGTGATGAACCCAAACTCCTTCAGAAATAGGTCATCCAAGTTTGGAGGATGAGCAGGTGCATTGTCCATTATTAGGAGGCACTTGAGATCCAATTTCTTTTCCAGGAAGTAATTCTTCACACTAAGGCCAAACACTTCATTGAACCACTTGACGAAAATTTCCCTCGTGACCCATGCCTTATTATTAGATCTCCAAAACACACACAATTTACTCTTCATAACATTGTTTTTCATGAACACTCTGGGATTTTCAGAATGGTACACTAGTAACGGCTTCACTTTGAAATCCCCACTAGCATTAGCACAGAACATGAGCGTCAGCCTGTCTTTCATAGGCTTGTGTCCTGGAAGTGCCTTTTCCTCCTGAGTAATGTAGGCCCTCTTTCGCATTTTTTTCCAAAAGAGGCCTGTTTCATCACAATTGAACACTTGTTCAGGTTTCAGTCCTTCAGCCTCTATGTACTCCTTGAATTCATGCACATATTTTTCAGCCGCTTTCTGGTCCAAACTGGCAGCCTCACCATGCCTTATCACACTGTGTATGCCAGTACGCTTCTTAAATCTCTCAAACCAGCCTTTGCTGGCCTTAAATTCACTCACATCACCACTAGTTGCAGGCAATTCCTTTACCAAATCGTCATGCAACTGCCTAGCCTTTTTCCAAATAATCGACGTCATAAGACGTCATTTATCCACACTAATAATAACTTCTCAACATCTTCGAGTACTGGTGATCTCATTTTTGTCAGCATATTTACCCCCTTTGCAACAACAGCTTCCTTGATTTCCTTTTTCTTGGCCACGATGGAAGATATGGTTGTACGGGATTTGTTATACATCCTGGCCAGTTCGCCCACACGTACGCCACTTTCATATTGTTCAATGATGTTTTTCTTAAATTCAATCGTATTTCTCACCTTCTTTACCAAAGGCTTGGCACTAGGAGCTTTCTTTGGAGCCATGGTAATTTATTTAGCACTTGAAACCCACTAAAATGAATGGAATATTATGAAATATTTCGTATGAACAAGTGAGGGGACCGTCCCTCACTGGTAAACAATGGCACACTGGCTGGGAAGGGAGGCCAAGGCGGCTCAGAGCATGAATACGCATCCAGGACGAAAGACGATCAGCGAGTCAACGGGCCATTTGCGAGCCAATGTTTGGACGAAATACGGGAACGATTTCCGAAAGGACGATTATCGAGCTGGACGATTGAGGGACCACTGTGCTACTGTTACTAACCTGTCACAGCTCGCCACCTGACTCCTGCCATTATATTTACTTGTTTCTTAATTATCTCTGTATTAGAACTGAAGAAACCATGTGTGTGTACTTATTAAATATCTTAATCAGTGCATAATGTCTTTTACCTACAATAAAACAATATTTTGCCAGTTTTAATTATCATGGAATGATAACATGGTGGCCAACTGCATGTTCAATGAATGTTAAATGAGCTATTTAGAAGAAAAAGGTATGAGAGAACATTAAAAAAAAAATTCTACAGTACAATTAAAAAATAAGAAACTTTATACTAAGAGAGAATCATTAAAGGGTAATTAAAGAGTGCTTCAATCACTATTCTTCAGGCACAAATACTTTCTTTGAAAGATATTTAATTCTTGGTTAAAGTACAAAAGAATTATAGAAAGAGAAACCAAGCAAAACTACATATAAGTAAAATTTCTTAAACACCATAGAAATTAACATACATTAGAATCACTGAGTAGAAAAACTGTGGTTAATTATCAATATAAATGTTAACTCAAATTAATTTCATTTTTTAGCAGTTATGCTAAGTTTGCTTAATAAAACATTCTTACTGAAATATGAAGTACATATTGTCTGTAGTTGTGATATTATGGAATAACAAAGTCTAACTCTCTCAATATAAAAAGAATGCTTCATAATTTTTTTCATATTATTAAATATTTCATTAACAAAGCTTACCAATTGTTATCCCTTGATTCCAGAACTTCTAGTCTTGCTCCAGGAACAAAGTCTATCCCCGGTTTGAAGACATGAAGCTGGCGAGCCATAGCATTGGCTTGGGCTACGTCAGCTCGGCTGATCATTACATCAGATTTACCCTGCAAGGTAATGTTATGTCATTTATTTTCCAATGTTTTTTTTGACACTCCAGCCATCCCCCACCAACGTAGGGTGACTTGACAAAAAGAAAAACACTTTTACTTACTCATTCAACCACTGTCTTGAAAGAAGAGTGAACACATAACAGTTCAGATGACTCTCAAAACTGCAGCATCCTCACCCCTCCTTCAGAGTGCTGGCACTTTACTTTACACCTCCAGGACTCAAGTCTAGCTAATTGGTTTCCTGAGTCCCTTAATTAATGTAACCATGCTCACACTCCGTCACATTAAATCATAAAAACCACTTGCCTTCACTCACTCCTTTGTGATATGTTCACAAAAACCTGTTGGATGTGCAAGTCCTGAGCACTCAAAACCTCTTTTACTCCCTCCTACCTTTCCTAGGAAAACCCTTACTCCTCCACCCAAGATTTATATGCTCTCCAAGTCACCCTATTTTTCTCCATCTTCTCTAAATATCCAAACCACCTCAACAACCCCTCCTCAGCCCTCTGAATAATACTTTTGGTAACTCCACACCTCCTCCTAATTCCCAAACTCCAAATACTCTGCTTAATATTCACACCACACATTTCCCTCAAACACAACATCTCTACTGCTTTGAACCTCTTCCTTGCTGCAATATTCAAAACCCACACCTCACACCCATGTATATGTAGCACTCAGAAACCCAAACAGTATTGTAGGCGCCAAATTTACATGTAACATTCTTGGCTTAACTTCCAGTAAATTCAAGAGCATTGTTAGACAGACCATGGTAAAGAATGAGGAGATGTAGAAGTATAGTAGAAGAATGTCTCCCTCTACTTTTGATAATGTTCCAGTTTGACAGTTCAGATGTGTGGCCAGTTTTCAGTAGAAAAAAAAAAAAGACTAACTTGGTGGTGTTCCTTCCAATAAGTAACACCCTCCCACACTCCATCAACTAGTATTGGGGTCTCTTACTGGACAAAATAAAATACCTTATCTCTTGCTTTTCTCTTACACTTTACAAGATAGTATAGTATCACCAAAATTTGTAATACTAATTTTTTATATGCACTATTTCTGACACTCACAGACTGAATTGCACAACTGTTCTTGAAAACAGATTTATTAAAATAACATGATGTGTGCATATATGTAAATATTATCACTGAGGGGACTTCTTTAAAATTAAAATTCAAAGTTCTAAAAAATTTACCATGCCTTACTTTTGATTTGGCAATTTTAAAGACAATCTTGAAAATGTCTAACCATAACTGAAATCCAAATAGCATTAAACTAATGCAAAGCACCAATCCTGTGTGGACCATTCAATGCAAGGAATAGTGGAGGCTTGAAGCTCCATCTGCCAGTCTCGAGACAGACAGGCTACTCTTGTACTCACGTGAGAGTAGTTTTTTATATATACATATTTATCATGATGGTGAGTGTTGAGTGATGGTGAAAGTGTATCTTTCTGTTTTGGGTTGGACCCTGCCTTGGTGGGAGACAGCTGTCTTGCTAAAAAAAAAAAAAAACATACACTTCTTTAGGTTTTTGTATAAAAAAATGCGAAAAATTAAAGAAGTGTATGTACAAGGTTTGAACCAATGGAAGTCGACTGTCAATATGCATGTACATCAGGACCTCTCCTACAAGCCCAAAGTGAATCTTAATCATTATTTACCACACTCTATAATGGCAGCTCCAGGGCTAACTGTCCCCATGGCTTGTTCTCTGAGTTAAATGGGCAATCATTAAGTATAAAATTAAAGATACAAGAAATACTGTGTTCCTGCCAGTGACAACATGAAAAAGGTTACCATATGTAATGTGAAATCAGTCCCTGTTTCCTTATCTACCAATCCACATTAGACAAAGTGACTCACGAAACCGTAATGACATCATTGCAAACAAACCATACCACGGGTTTGTTTGCAATCGTGCCATTGCGATTTCGTGGGTCATGATAACGGTTTTGAGGGGACTTGAGCTAGAGTTCGTCACGGCCACACTAGCTGGAGATTCCTCTGTAAAAACTTGCATTTGTGGTCACAGTGGTGCCTATGCTAACCTTCCTATGGTGTAGAAATATACCTAGTTGGATGAATCTTATCGTAGCTAGCTGGTCCAGTGGCTAATGCGATGGTCTGGAGTTTTGAGACTCTGTGATCGCGGGTTCTATCCCCGCCCGTGGTATGGTTTGTTTCACATTGGACAAATACTGTCTTCTTATTATAATTTATTATGACTCACAAAATCACAATAACATGATTGCAAACGAGCCACAGAACACTTACCATGGGTTCGAACCCTGCCATCTTTGATTTATTTACTGTACTTACATAATGAAATAGATAATTATATATATAGAGTGTTTGGGAGAGGGGTGGGATTAAATTATGGGGAATCAAATACAAAATGGGAATTGACAGTTACTTTTTGCTGATGATAATGTGCTTATGGGAGACTCTAAAGAAAAACTGCAAAGGTGAGTGGACGAGTTTGGGAGCGTGTGTAAAGGTAGAAAGTTGAAAGTGAACATAGAAAAGAGTAAGGTGATGAGGGTATCAAATGATTTAGATAAAGAAAAACTGGATATCAACTTGGGGAGGAGGAGTATGGAAGAAGTGAATGTTTTCAGATATTTGGGAGTTGACGTGTCAGTGGATGGATTTATGAAGGATGAGGTTAATCATAGAATTGATGAAGGAAAAAAGGCGAGTGGTGCGTTGAGGTATATGTGGAGACAAAAAAGTTAACTATGGAGGCAAAGAAGGGAATGTATGAAAGTATAGTAGTACCAACACTCTTATATGGGTGTGAAGCTTGGGTTGTAAATGCTGCAGCAAGGAGGCGGGTTGGAGGCAGTGGAGATGTCCTGTCTAAGAGCAATGTGTGGTGTAAATACTATTATGCAGAAAATTCGAAGTGTGGAAATTAGGAGAAGGTGTGGTTGGAGTTAATAAAAGTATTAGTCAGAGGGCTGAAGGGGGGTTGTTGAGGTGGTTTGGTCATTTAGAGAGAATGGATCAAATTAGAATGACATGGAGAGAGTTTAAATCTAAAGGGAAAGGAAGGCGGGGTAGGGGTCGTCCTCGAAAGGGTTGGAGAGGGGGGGTAAAGGAGGTTTTGTGGGCGAGGGTTTGGGATTTCCCAGCAAGCGTGCATGAGCATGTTAGATAGGAGTGAATGGAGACGAATTGTACTTGTGACCTGACGATCTGTTGGAGTGTGAGCAGGGTAATATTTAGTTAAGGGATTCAGGGAAACCGGTTATTTTCATATAGTCGGACTTGAGTCCTGGAAATGGGAAGTACAATGCCTGCACTCTAAAGAAGGGGTTTGGGATATTAGCAGTTTGGAGGGATATGTTGTGTATCTTTATATGTGTATGCTTCTAAACTGTTGTATTCTGAGCACCTCTGCAAAAACAGTGATAATGTGTGAGTGTGGTGAAAGTGTTGAATGATGATGAAAGTATTTTCTTTTTGGGGATTTTCTTTCTTTTTGGGTCACCCTGCCTCGGTGGGAGACGGCCGACTTGTTGAAAAAAAAAAAAAAGTTTACTGAGTATACCAGGTAAAGTGCATGGTAGGGTTATTATTCAAAGAATTAGAGGTAAGACAGAAAGTAGGATTGGGATGAGCAAGGAGGCTTTAGAATGGGTAGGGGATGTGTAGATCAAGTGTTTACACTGAAGCATATATGTAAGCAGTATTTAGATAAAGGTAGGGAAGTTTTCATTGCATTTATGGATTTAGAAAAGGCATATGGCAGAGTGGATAGGGGAGCAATGTGGCAGATGTTGCAAGTGTATGGAATACGTAGTAAGCTACTAAATGCTGTAGAGGGTTTTCATGAGGAGTGTGAGGCTCAGGTTAGGTTGGGAGTAGGAGAGAGGGAGATTATTTCCTGATAAAAGTGGGTCTTAGACAGGAATGTGTAATATCACCATAGTTTTTTTTTTTTTTTTTTCAACAAGTTGGCTGTCTCCCACCGAGGCAGGGTGACCCAAAAAAGAAAGAAAATCCCCAAAAAGAAAATGCTTTCATCATCATTCAACACTTTCACCACACTCACACATAATCACTGTTTTTGCAGAGGTGCTCAGAATACAACAGTTTAGAAGCATATACGTATGAAGAGACACAACATATCCCTCCAAACTGCCAATATCCCAAACCCCTCCTTTAAAGTGCAGGCATTGTACTTCCCATTTCCAGGACTCAAGTCCGACTATATGAAAATAACCGGTTTCCCATAGTTGTTTAATATATTTATGGATAGGGTTGTAAAAGAAGTAAATGGTAGGGTGCTGGGGAGAGGGGTGGGATTAAATTATGGGGAATCAAATACAAAATGGGAGTTGACACAATTACTTTTTGCTGATGATACTGTACTTTTGGGAGATTCTAAAGAAAAGCTGCAAATGTTAGTGGGTGAGTTTTGGAGGGTGTGTAAAGGTAGAAAGTTGAAAGTGAACATAGATAAGAGTAAGGTGATGAGGGTATCAAATGATTTAGATAAAAGAAAAATTGGAAATAACATTGGAGAGAGGGAGTATGGAAGAAGTGAATGTTTTCAGATATTTGGGAGTTGACTTGTCAGCAGATGGGTTTATGAAAGATGAGGTTAACCATAGAACTGATTAAGGAAAAAAGGTGAGTGGTGCATTGAGGTATCTGTGGAGATAAAAAACGTTATCCATGGAGGCAAAGAAAAGGAATGTACGAACCAATGCTCTTATATGGGTGTGAGCTTGGGTTGTAAATGCTGCGACGAGGAGGCAGCTGGAGGCAGTGGAGATGTCGTGTCTAAGGGCAATGTGTGGTGTAAATATTATGCAGAGAATTTGGAGTGTGGAAATTAGGAGGTGTGGAGTTACTAAAAGTATTAATCAGAGGGCTGAAGAGGGGTTGTTGAGGTGGTTTCATCATTTAGAAAGAATGGAACAAAGCAGAATGACTTGGAGTGTATAAATCTGTAGGGGAAGAAACGTGAGGTAGGGGTCGTCCTCGAAAACGTTGGAGGGAGGGGGTAAAGGAGGTTTTGTGGGCAAGGGGCTTGGACTTCCAGCAAGCACGTGTGAGCATGTTAGATATGACTGAATGGAGACGAATAGTTTCTGGGACCTGACAAGCTGTTGGAGTGTGAGCAGGGTAATATTTTGTGAAGGGATTCAGTTAAATCAGTTAGCTGGACTTGAGTCCTGGAAATGGGAAGTACAATACCTGCACTTCAAAGGACGGGATAGGATATTGGCAGTTTGGTGGAACTTCTGAACTGTTGTTTCTGAGCGCCTCTGCAAAGATAGTACTCACCTATTTGTGGTTGCAGGGGTTGAGACACAGCTCCTGGCCTGGCCTTCATGATTGCTACTAGGTCCTCTCTCTCCCTGCTCCATGAGCTTATCATACCTTGTCTTAAAACTATGTTTGGTTCCTGCCTTCACTACATCATATGCCAGACTATTCCACTTCCTGACAACTCTATGACTAAAGAAATACTAAATAGCATCTCTTTGACTCATCTAAGTCTTCAACTTCCAAGTGTGACCCCTTGTTTCAGTGTCCCATCTCTGGAACATCCTGTCTCTGTCCACCTTTTCTATTCCTCTCAGTATTTTGTATGTTGTTATCATGTCTCCCCTGACCCTCCTGACTTCCAGTGTCATCAGGCTGCTTTCCCTTAACCTATCTTCATACAACACTCCCCTTAGCTCTGGAACTAGCCTTGTTGCAAACCTTTGCACTTTCTCTAATTTCTTGACATGCTTGACCAGGTGTGGGTTCCAAACTGGTGTTGCATACTCCAGTATGGGCCTAATGTACACAGTGGACAGAGTCTTGAATGATTCCTTACTGAGGTATTGGAATGCTATTCTCAGGTTTGCCAGGTGCCCATATGCTGCAGCAGTTATCTGATTGATGTGCGCTTCAGGAGATGTGCTCGGTAATATACTCAACCCCAAAAAATTTTTCCCTGAGTGAGGTTTGCAGTCTTTGGCCACCTAGCCTATGCTCTGTCTGTGGTCTTCTTTGCCCTTCCTCGATCTTCATGACATTGCATTTAGCCTGGTTAAATTCAAGGAGCCAGTTGCTGGACCATGTGTTCAGCCTGTCCAGGTCTCTTTGCAGTCCTGCCTGATCCTCATCTGATTTAATTCTCCTCATTAACTTCACATCATCTGCAAACAGGGATACATCTAAGTCTAACCCTTCCATCACGTTATTCACATATACCAAAAATAGCACTGGGCCTAGGACTGACTCCTGTGGAACCCCCGCTTGTCACAGGCACTCACTGTTGATGGTGATGGTGAAGTGTTGAATGTTGATGAAAGTATTTTTCTTTCTTTTTGGGTCACCCTCAGTGGGAAACGACTGATGTGTTAAGAAAAAAAATACATATATATATACTATATCTATACACATACACATGCACACACAAAACTAACTTTTTCTGAAGATGGAGAAAATCCCAGAAAATCTTCTTCCTGCTTTGTTGAAGTTCTTCCATCTTTCAGCTCTCCTGAATGATCCCTCTCTGCCTTCTCAACTTTGGGAGAAGCTGAAATAATGTACTATACACATTAGATTTCACTGTATAATGTACAGCTATAATACAATTTGACTTTACTATAAAATGTATTATATATATGAGATTGCATTGTATAATGTACCATGATCAATAGAGCTAAAATATAATACTGGACTCAATGTTTAGTACCCATTATACATTTTCCATAAAACCACAACCAATTTTCCAGAAAGCTGTCAATACTAACCATTCCAAACTCTTTAAGGCATTTAGAGATTCTAATAAAATCAAATTATTAAAATATAAGTTTTATCATTTTATATGAATTGCCTTAACTTATTAAGTTTTGAAAATGCACTTGCTTTAGAGATTATACCACCACTCTTCCATAAGCTTAATACAAGAATTTACACACACGAGTATCTTAGTGTGGAAGACTCCTGAAAAAGAGAAGGAAGTGCTAAACACATAGCGGTTGTATACTTCATAAGGACTGAGAGGTAATAAGGTGTGATCCAAGGGAGGATAGGTCCATTTCCTTGGAACAAGAGCTTCTCACTGCATCAAAGCACTTCCCTTGAGAAGACAGGAAGGACTAAGTTTAAATGAATATAGTGAGTAAATTAAAAAAATATAATTAGTGTAAGAGATTGTGACAAATATTTTTAAGTTTGGTTAGGGTAATAAATATTGTCAAACTCTAATTTCACTTTATAGTCTCCCTTAATAAAGTTTTATTAATGCTTCTTAATTTTCGTTTTTAACATGTCAGCCATCTCATACCAAGGCAAGGTGACCCACAAAAAAGAAACACTTTCACCATCATTCACGCAAAATTACTGTCTTTGCAGGGGTGCCGAGATATGACAGTTCAGATGTCATTCCAAACAGCCAATATCCCAAACCCCTCCTTTAAAGTGCAGGCATTGTACTTTTCACCTCCAGGACTCAAGTCCGACTAAGCAGTTTCCCAAAATCCCTTCACATAATACAGTGCACCCTCGACCAACACTGGCATCGTATAACGTTAAACCCGACTAGCGATACATTTTAATGCCAAAATTTTCCTCGACTAGCGCTAAAAAATCGACCAACACGATTCGTTTCATTCAAGATGCGTCCACTTTTTGCCTGAGTGCGCCTCACTTGTCCTGTGGCAGCCAGTGTTTACAAGCCAGCCAGCCACTGCAGTCCCATCCAAACGTACAATTGGAACATTTCATATTATCACAGCGTTTTTAGTGATTGCACCTGCAAAATAAGTCACCAAGGGCCCCAAGAAAGCTTCTAGTGCCAACCCTACAGCAAAAAGGGTGAGAATTACTATGGATATGAAGAAAGAGGTTAAGGAAATGTGTGCAATGTGGGTTGAAGTGCAAACTTTTATGGATGAAAATCACCCTCACACAGCTATTGCAAGCCATGTTGGTGACTATTACAATGACAATGTTGTGAACCACTTTAGACAAATCATAAAGGAACAGGAGGTACAGGCCTCTATGGACAGATATGTTGTGCAACAGAGGTCCAGTGACTCTCAAGCTGGTCCTAGTGGCATTAAAAGAAGAAGGGAAGTAACCCCGGAAAAGGACTTGACACCTCAAGTCCTAATGGAAGGGGATTCCCCTTCTAAACACTAACACCATCCACACTCTCCCCTCCTCCCATCCCATCAATCATCACCAGATCTTCAATAACGGTAAGTGTCATGTAATTGTACATGTCTTCTTCAGTTTGTGTGAATTAAAATTAATATTTCATGTGGTAAAAAAAATTTTTTTCAATACTTTGGGGTATCTTGCACGGATTAATTTGATTTCCATTATTTCTTATGGGGAAAATTAACTCGACTAACAATAATTTCGACTAACAATAAGCTCTCAGGAACGGATTAATATCGTTGGTCGAGGGTCCACTGTATTACCTTGCTCACACTCCAACAGCTTATCAAGTCCCAAAAACCATTAGTCTCCATTCACTCTTATCTAACATGCTCACACATGCCTGCTGTATGTCCAAGCCCCTTGCACACAAAACTTCTTTTACCCCCTCCCTCCATCCTTTTCGAGATGACCCCTACCCCTCCTCCCCTCCACTACATATTTATACACCGTCCAAATCATCCTATTTTGCTCCATCCTTTCTAAATGACCAAACCACCTCAACAACCCCTCCTCAGCCCTCTGAATAATAGTTTTTGTAACTCTACACCTCCTCCTAATTTCCAGACTATGAATAATAATATTTAAAATCATAATTATCACACAAAGCCCAGAACAGTGGCAGATGTTGCAAGTATATGGAATAGGTGGTAAGTTACTAAATGCTGTTAAGAGTTTCTATGAGGACAGTGAGGCTCAGATTAGGGTGTGTAGAAGAGAGGGAGTCTACTTTCCAGTAAAAGTAGGTCTTAGACAGGGATGTGTAATGTCACCATGCTTGTTTAATATATTTATAGATGGGGTTGTGAAAGAAGTAAATGCTAGGGTATTCGGGAGAGGGGTGGGATTAAATTATGGGGAATCAAATACAAAATGGGAAGTGACACAGTTACTTTTTGCTGATGATACTGTGCTTATGGGAGATTCTAAAGAAAAATTGCCAAGGTTAGCGGATGAATTTGGGAGTGTGTGTAAAGGTAGAAAGTTGAAAGTGAACATAGAAAAGAGTAAGGTGATGAGGGTATCAAATGATTTAGATAAAGAAAAATTGGATATCAAATTGGGGAGGAGGACTATGGAAGAAGTGAATGTTTTCAGATATTTGGGAGTTGACTTATCATCAGATGGATTTATGAAGGATGAGGTTAATCATAGAATTGATGAGGGAAAAAAGGTGAGTGGTGCATTGAGGTATATATGGAGACAAAGAACATTATCTATGGAGGCAAAGAAGGGAATGTATGAAAGTATAGTGGTATCAACACTCTTATATGGGTGTGAAGCTTGGGTTGTAAATGCTGCAGCGAGGAGGCGGTCGGAGGCAGTGGAGATGCCTGTCGAAGGCCAATGTGTGGTGTAAATATTATGCAGAAAATTTGGAGTGTGAAAATTAGGAGAAGGTGTGGAGTTAATAAAGTGTTAGTCAGAAGGCTGAAGAGGGGTTGTTGAGGTGGTTTGGTCATTTAGAGAGAATGGATCAAAGTAGAATAACATGGAGAGTGTATAAATCAGTAGGGGAAGGAAGGCGGGGTAGGGGTCGTCCTAGAAAGGGTTGGGGGGAGGGGGTAAAGGAGGTTTTGTGGGCGAGAGGCTTGGACTTCCAGCAAGCGTGCGTGAGCGTGTTAGATAGGAGTGAATGGAGACGAATGGTATTTGGGACCTGACAAGCTGTTGGAGTGTGAGCAGGGTAATATTTAGTGAAGGGATTCAGGGGAAACCAGTTATTTTATATAGCCAGACTTGAGTCCTGGAAATGGGAAGTACAATGTCTGCACTTTAAAGGAGGGGTTTGGGATATTGGCAGTTTGGAGGGATGTGTTGTGTATCTTTATACGTATATATACTTCTAAACTGTTGTATTCTGGCCACCTCTGCAAAAACAGTGATTATGTGTGAGTGAGGTGAAAGTGTTGAATGATGATAAAAGTATTTTCTTTTTAGAGATTTTCTTTCTTACTGGGTCACCCTGCCTCGGTGGGAGACGGCCGACTTGTTAAAAAAAAAAAATAGTAATAGTGTAGAAGTCAATAGTATGTTAAGACAAGTAGTGAGGCCAGTAGTTAGTACTGAATATCATATATATGACCCATTAAATTATTCAAATATATTTTTTTTCACAACACACATCTCCCACTAAGGTATGGTGACCCCCTCCCCCAGAAAAAATGATGAAACAAATTCACTGTCATTTACTCAATTGCTGTCTTGCCAGAAGTGTGTTGACATCACAGTTCAGATGACCCTAAGAACTGCAACATCCCTACCTCTCCAGAGTCCAGGCACTGTTCTTCCCATTTCTTGGGCTCAAGCCCAGCTGACTGGTTCTTCCCTGAATCCCTTCATAAATGTAACCTTGTTCACACTCCAACAGCACATCACCAAAACCACTTGTACCATTCACTTTGATCTAACATTTTCAAAACAGCCAATGATATATCTTTATACCTTTGAGAGCTTTTCTACTCCTGGAGCCTGACCATGGTCCAGGCTCGTTTGGTACTTGCCTGGTCAACCAGGCTGTTGTTGCTGGTGGCCTGCTGCCCCCAGTGACGGCTCGTAATGCCAGTAATACCTATACTACTGTACCTCATCAAACTTCTATATTTAATAATTTTTTATCTTGTTTCAACAACAAAAAAAAAAATAAAAAAAATGGCTGATAAATACATTGAAAACAACATACAACAGATTTTTCCTGTAATATATTTGTCGGTTGCAAATTATTTTAGCGTAAGGTTGATGAAGTCATACGTCTGGCAGTGAGCATCTGGGGAGACTGCAGTTCTGCAGCTCCTATGGACAAGCTGCCACTGGCTGCCCCACTTATCCATCACAGCCAGGTTGATCTGGCACCTATGTTCAAAGCCATTAGCATTCAAAAACCTCTAATACCCACTCTCTTTAACCTTTCCTGGTATGATATCTTACTGTCCTTCCTTCCAGTTCAAGATTTATACACTGCACCCTCTTAATTATCCTATTCTGCTCCATCTTTAGATACCCAAACCACCTCAACAACCTCTCCTGAACCCTCTAAATTATACTTCTGATAATCCCACATCATCTAATCTTCGGTCTTCAAATTCTCTGCACAATATTCAAACCATATATCACCCACAACATGACATCTCCACTGCCTCCAGACTCCATTTTGCTGCAATGTTTGAGGATTATGCTTCACCCCAGCAAAACAGTGTTGGTACCACTATACTCTGATACATTCCCATTGCCTCCACGGATAAAGTTCTGTCTCCAAACATGTCTCTAACACACCATCCACTTTTTTCCTACCGTCTTTTCTATGGTTCACCTCAACTTTCATAGACCGATCTGCTGACAAGTCCACTCCCAAATAATAATTGAACACTTTTTACTTCCTCCATACTCACTCTCTTCAGTGTGATGTGTTTGCAACTTAATGATTAAACTAGGCTCATTAAAGTGTCTTCAGTATATCTAATATTTCATTGGCTAGATGTTGTTACTCTCATTTCCTTGTTCTTTCCCATGTCAACTTTTAATGTCCTTTTACATACTCTCTAAAATTTACCACCAACCTTTGCAACTTTTCAGAATTTTCCTAAAGAAATGTATCATTGGCAAAGAACAACTCTGAAAACTTTCACTTTGTACTGAATCATACTACAATCATGGGGCAGCCCTAAACTTACTGGGGTTAAATACTGTAGTGAATGAAAGGTAATCAGATTTGATCCAAGGAAGAGGAAGGTAGTTCAGATTCATTTGTACAAGAGCCCTTTACCAGCATCAATAATTCTTTTTTCCTGATTAATTTACTGAATCCAGTAGTCTGTTTTCATATTTCTCCTAAAATTTTCCTGTTTGATATATTACATATAAGTACAATATACCAATGCTGAGATACTATACATGCTGTTTCACCCTATTAAAGATGCCCTATACCTTTGTGTTAAGTGACCTGGGATGGGGTTGTTAGATAGGCTGAGTGCCTATGTATTACCTGTGTACTGCAGGGCTGTAAGTGAAAGTACCATATTAATCCCCCCCTCCCAAGTATGAGCACTGACTCCACCACACAGGTGTAGTGCTGAGGTCAGGCTAATGAGTTAGCTATTTTACCTCTCATCCTCCCATGTGTTGACCTATTTCTAATAATAGTAGATATACTCTATAGATGGTTTTACCTTCAGTTGATTTCTTGGGACACCACCTCCATGGTCTAGTGCCAGACCAGGCCTCCCATATTAATCAAAATTATATTATTATTAGTATTATAACCATAACTAAGCACTAAGCCCACAATACACATAAATGAATATATAATTTTGACTATGAGCCTGAAGGGTCACAGTTAAAATTATATATTCATTTAAGTTTATGTGAGAAATGAGCCACTACCTACACTCATTGGCCACTTCATTAGGTACACCTGCTCATTAATGCAAATATCTAAACAGCCAATCACCTCAATGCCTAAAAGCATGCCAAGATGGTCAAGAGGAGCAATCATTCAGATCGAACATCAGAATGAGGAAGAAATGTGATCTAAGTGACTGAATGTGGAATGATTGCTGGCTGTCTCCCACAGAGGCAGGGTGACCCGAAAAAGAAACATTCTCACCATCATTCACTCTACCACTGTCTTGCCAGAGGTGTGCAGATACTACAGTTCAGATGTCTCCCCAAACTATACCAATATCTCCACCTCTCCTGCAGAGTGCAGGCTAATTGGTGTATTGAATCCCTTAAAATATTATCCTGCTCACACTCCAACAGCTTGTAAAGTCTCAAAAATCATTTGCCTTCACTCACTCCTAACACACACACACACACCTGCTGGGTGTCCAAGCCCTTTGCATAGAAAACTTCATTATCATCTGCATCCCATCTTTTGTAGGGCAATCCCTGCCCCACCTTTCTTCCATTACAGATTATGCATCCTTAAAGTCATCCATTTTGCTCCATCCCCTCTGAATGTCCAAACCACCTCAACAAACCCTCTGGATAATACTTTTAGTAACTCTGCACTAATCTCCAGTCTACTAATTCTCTGCATGTTTACACAACACATTGCCCTCAGCCACACCACCACTGCCTTCAACTGCCTCCTTGCTGCAACATTCACAACCCATGCTTCACACCCATATAAGTGTTAGTACCATTATACTTTCTTACATTCTTTAATGTTCTTTGTCTCCACATATGCCTCTGTGCACCACCCACCTCTTTCCCTTCATCAATTCTATGGTTCACCTTATCTTTCACATACTCATCCATCAATAAGTCCACTCCCAAATATCTGAACACATTTGCTTCCTCCATACTCTCTCCTTGCAATCAGATATTCAGTCATTTATTACCTAACTTGTTTGTTACCCTCATCAATTTGCTCTATCCTATGTTCACTTTTAATTTCCTTTTACATACCCTACCAAATTTGTCCACTAACCTTAGCTAATTCTCATCAGAATCTCCCAAAAGAACAGCATAAAAAATAGAAAAAAAACAACTCCATTTTGTAATAAATTCTGCATATTTTAATTCCACACCTCTCCTCAACACCCTAGCATTTGCTTCTTATACAACCGATTTATAATAATATAATTATAACTAATCGCTAAAACCATAAGGGTCATACAAAATCCCATCTATAAATATGTTAAACAACTTTGGTGACATCACACATCCCTAAGGCCTACTTTTACTAGATTATTATTATTATAATAAAAAAGAAGCGCTAAGCCACAAGGGCTATACAGCTACTTTTACTAGAAAATAATTTCTCCCTCTCCTACATACCCTAACCTGAGCCTCACTATTCTCAAAAACTCTTAACAGCATTCAGTAACCTACCACCTATTCTATACCTGGAAGTTGTTCTGGGAATCTACACCTCCATTGCCTGTCCATGACCAGGCAACATTAGCCACATCACTCCCCTATCACATGCTTTTTCTAAATTCATTGTTTTCACAGGAACCCAAATTCCTCTATTAATATAGAAGGGATTTAGAGCAATACCAGAGTGAAGCTCCAGGCTTTCCAACCCTCGCCAGCAGAGACCATAAGTGGTAACATGCCTGCATTACATTTTAGATTAAAGTACAGGTGAAGTACTGTACTTACATAGCTAGTATTCATGGCATCTTGAAAGAAAAAAAAGATCTTCACTTATCTGCATGTTTGCCTGAGGTTGTTCCTGTGACTGGCTGCATTGCATCAGCAAGACAGACAAGCAGCTGACTTTTCTTGGACATTTCTACTAGGAATGATCATATTTAAGGCTAGAGAGAATGCCTTGCTGTGTAATAGGATCTTGCTGAAGTGGTCATCAATCAGTTACAGAGGCAAAACCAAAATGATACCGAGATTGTGACAATGCAGCGTAGTATTGTGGCAGAGTTATCCAGTGATGGCCCATATAAATGATAATGTAAGGTGTACTAACAGTGTAGATAAACATAAAAATTTAAGAGTTACATTCAGAATGCTGAGCAGTGCTTAAAATTAAATGACATTGTTATGCCTTGTATTATTACATTAATGTGAAAGTGCTAAACCCCTAGGGGTCATACAGCACCTGGGGAAATGAAAGGCATTCAGGCTTGATTCAAGGAACTAGAGCACAAGGCATCAAGGAACCTCCTTCGAGGGAATGTGCCTTGCATATTGTGTAGTCATCAAATTAAAAATTATAATATTCATGGAGAAGTGCTAAACCCAAAGAGGTCATATAGCACCTAAGGAATGGAAGATAAACTGGTATGATCTGAGAAAGGGGAAGGTAGTTCCAATTTTTTGGATTAAGAGCCCTTCACCAACTTCTAGGCACTCTGCTTTTAGGAAGTCTAGAATCTGCTTAGCAGAAATGGGCCCCAGAAAAATTAAGGCAGCAAGGCAAGGAGAGTTTGCAGGAGGAAATGATATTACATTTAAAAAAAAAATGATAAAAAATGTATATATCATTTGGCACTGCATAAAAAAGGGAACAAGTATTATGGAAGACGACCTGCAGAATGAAGCCAAGTTAGTGTAACAAAAGCAGATTCAGCTAGGTCATGGACAGTTCGCATAAATGTTGAAGGAGAAATCACTGATCAGTGTTGATACAAATGTGGCACCTGGTAGGGAACCTAAAGAACATCAGGGAACTGCAGGGAACCGAGTTATACAGTTTTGACAACCAGTAATCATCTAAATAAGACTGGTTAAAAGGTCAAGGCAGTCAAAAGTAAATTTCAATGCTCTGTTGGGAAATTTTTGGTGACCTCATGTAGGAAGACCAAACATCTCCACTTTTGTATTGTCTTGTAATATAAGCTGGCTGTAGAGATTCTCTTCATAATGCTCAAAGGGTTGTAGCATGGTAGTACAACTGTTCTTCATCATGAATTAAGTTGGGCATGATGGCAAACTGTAAGAGAAGTTATCTACTGTTTGCAACTTTAAGGGTTTCAGCTTAACATTCAGCAGACTAAATGTATGCAATGTACATCTCATTGTGAAAGATATGAAAAAAGGTCATGGGTCAGGGCAACCTCAATGTCATCTAATGCACCTATATCACTTCCTTTGACAGTAAACACATTTATTCATGTCTCAGGGTAAAATGTTCAAAAGGCAGGGAAAGCTGTGAAGGTCAAAGGAGGAACACTAGTTACCTCTGAGGGAAGAAAGGCAATAGGTTGATGGGGAAGCAATGGGAAGAAAGGGTCAGCAGCTGTATGACATACAAGGATAGGAAACCTGAAAGTTTAGTTGCCCACCATACGAGTCTTGAGAGAAGGACAATGATTAACATTACAATAATATATACTCAGTTCAACTTTCTATTCTATGCACCCTTCAACCCAACAAAACAAGTCACTAAAATACTAATGGCCCAAGTTAATATTATAATAGAGGGAAGCTTGAAACCCACAGGGGTCATGTAGCACTTGGGAATGAAAAGAATCAGGTTCGATCCAACTTAAGGATAGATCCACTTCCTTGGATCAAGAGACCCTTACTGGCATTTATGCACCTCCCTTGAGGAGCCTCAGGTTAATAAAGATATGCACAAGTAACCACCAATGTCTGGAAGAAGCTGTAGGACCAAAAGGATTCATACTGTCGGATACATGCTTGACTCAAGTCAAATACGACTGACTAATCTAGTTCAGTGGGGGCTACCACTGAATTTCTTCTCAATTCTATCTAATATCCAAATAGAAGGCAATCAATCATGTTTGATCTAAGTAAGAGAAGGTAAGGAAATATAAACACAAATGCAGTATAATGTGATCCTTTATTGACTACGTTTCGCCCACACAGTGGGCTTTTTCAAGTCACAAACAGAACTGTTTGTGACTTGAAAAAGCCCACTGTGTGGGCGAAACGTAGTCAATAAAGGATCACATTATACTGCATTTGTGTTTATATTTCCATTGTGTCTGTATTTTATACCATTTATTTCCAAGAGAAGGTAAGGTTGAATTCCTTGGATTAAGAGCTCACTAGTATCAAAAATACTCCCTTGAGGGGCCCTAAACAGTTTGGACAATGATGGGCCACAACTTCTGGGGCAGACTAAAAAATTCCAGGCAAGCAGAAATGAGGATCAAATAGTTACTGAATAAAATCTAAGCACCTGGTAGTGGTATGATTGTCAATAGCAGTCCCCCAAGAGGCATGTTTCAGTCAAGATGGCTCTAGCACGTGGTGACCACCAGGATATGCAATTTTTAAAACGCTTACCTGGGGTTTGTGTGATAAGGATTCCAACAGCTGGAAGAAGCGATTTAACACAAATGTGAAAACTCAAAAATGGAGGAGGTATCTGTGATAGAAGAAAAAAGAGGTATGTGGTTATATACCACACTGCTATAAAGAGTACAGATAAGGACAGGTAGAGGAATGATTAGAAAGAATAACAGGGAAGTGACACACATCTGACTGGCTGACTGACTAACTAACTATTGGCAGTTTGGGGGGATATGTTGTGTATCTTTATACATATACACCTGGAAAATCCTAGAGGGACTAGTACCGAACTTGCACACGAAAATCACTCATTACGAAAGCAAAAGACTTGGCAGACGATGCACCATCCCCCCAATGAAAAGCAGGGGTGTCACTAGCACGTTAAGAGACCATACAATAAGTGTCAGGGGCCCGAGACTGTTCAACTGCCTCCCAGCACACATAAGGGGGATTACCAACAGACCCCTGGCAGTCTTCAAGCTGGCACTGGACAAGCACCTAAAGTCAGTTCCGGATCAGCCGGGCTGTGGCTCGTATGTTGGTTTGCGTGCAGCCAGCAGCAACAGCCTGGTTGATCAGGCTCTGATCCACCAGGAGGCCTGGTCTCAGACCGGGCCGCGGGGGCGTTGACCCCCGGAACTCTCTCCAGGTAAACTCCAGGTAAATATATGCTTCTAAACTGTTGTATTCTGAGCACCTCTGCAAAAGCAGTGATAATGTGTGAGTGTGGTGAAAGTGTTGAATGATGATGAAAGTATTTTCTTTTTGGGGATTTTTTCTTTCTTTTTTGGGTCACCCTGCCTCGGTGGGAGACGACCAACTTGTTGAAAAAAAAACAAAAAAAAACAGGGAAGTGGTCACAATCATGGAGATCACTTATCACTGCCCAATCACAGTATCTTCACACAGAAACCAAGCAAATAGATACATTACTATGAAGGAATGTTAGCATATCTACACGGGTCAAAGCCTCAATATTTAGAACATTTAAAGGGAAAAAAATTACAATTGGTTCCCATGAGTTACAAAGGGATTCACCCCCAAACATAATGATAGCATTTAAAATAAAAAAAAAGAAGTGTGGTTTAGGTAATAATGAAACTAGGGTGTCTGAAAATACAGGAAGAAGAGTACAAAGAACAAATTGCACACAATTTTTCTAATAAACAAGCTGTGCTATAAAGGAGTGGGGTTCCAACACAATTTGATATACTGAATATCGGTGCCACTTTCATCATAGGAGACATCAGGGTACAGATGGACAGACTGTAAAATAATGTAGCCAAAGATGTGAAATCCAGTAACTTGGCAAAGTTTAGTTTCTCAGACACAGGTATACATAAGAAAACTTGGAGATCAGTATCCAGAGCTCTCCTCAGATCCCTCTGTATCCTCTACTGTTCCAGTGTAAACAAGAAATAGCTAAGGTAAACAAAATTAAGTAAGAGTTATTTAGAAGAATGAAAAAATCAAGTATTTGTTGGTAGCGGGTAAGAATTCACTAAAACGCTCTACTAAGATTATCTGGGCAAGGA